GGCCTGCTTTTCTGTATCAGAACTATGCTCTCCTTCTGCTGCTATCTCACTTCCTCTGCTGGACTGAAGTCCTGGAACGGGACACATGCTCCGAGCTGTCTAGTGGATGGTTTGGAGCCAGGACTGTTTCCTGTGTGTATAGTTCACATTTGTCTGTATCAGCACTGAGACCTCAATGGAATGAGACTTTCCTTGCTTCCCCGGAGGAGAGAGAGACTGGTTTTGGCTCTACATTCACTCTGAATCACCACCTGGCAGAGGGACAGAGCCATGGGAAAGTTGAACACCAGCCACTTTTGAAGACATGGGACCAAATCCATCTCTCAGTGAGTGGAAGAAACGTCACGAACCTCTGTAAGGCAGGCCCCACTGTGACCTCATTTCAATGGCATCTCTTGGGGGGCAAGTAATTTGGTCCCAGGAGGACAACTGAAATGACACTTTTGCCCATAAGTCCATTGCTCAATTGTTAGTTCTGCACTGTGGATACACAGAAATGCCTGGCAAACTGTAGCCTAAAGCTGTTCTGCCAGATAACCTCAGCTCCACGTAGTAACATTCTGACTGCCCTTCTAGGCCGTCAGGCCCCGCAGGCCCATGCAGCTTAGCCCTCTCTGTACACCTGAGTGTACTGCCCTCACAGTTTGAAGAGGCTCACATTTCCTTCAAGTCAGCTCCATTTCACCAGTCAATCCCCTTTACCCTTTGTTTGGCTGTACATTGCAGGAGACAGGAACTTTGTAAGTCCAGCTGCCTGGAAGGCAGCAGTGGCAGCTGTAATGCTTTTCCTTGCGGTGAATGGTTTCCTTCCACGCACCTCTTAAAAGTTATACAAAGGAGCTGACAACCTCACCTCTGTTTTCTTAGGTCCTTCATGGTAATTTCTGGTTTGAATCTTTTAATAACTTCCCTGTTTATTTAAATTAGGTCTAACTTTAACCAACAACTTCTTGGGGCAAGGGTGTGGTTGTTCTGTACAAATGTTATATTGCTATAAATGGTCACTGGCATACTTTCTTTTCCTGTCTGTTTAGACCTTTAGGCATTTCCTGCTAATCACTGATTGTGCATCTTTATGGGGTAATTTGGTCAAAAGGCCAAAATATGGTGCCATTTGCTTCAACAAATAAATGTTGCTACATTGTCATGTCATTCTCTTATTTCAGCATAATACATGCTATCTAGTAAGACTGAGGTTCATATACCTACTATGTTTCCCAGTTGTGATATCTGAACACTTGTAAATACCTGATGTGTGACTATTAGATCCATAAGTTGTTTCCTACCAGCTTGTACAAAGCACTGGAGGTCTCCAGAGAATATTTGGTTTACAGGTATATAGGCAGGTAGAGGAGCATCTAGGCCATCTGCAGAAGCATCTAGGCCATCTGCAGTAGATGACAATTCATGTAGCTGTTTCTTAATCTCCATGCAGTTCATGCAATAAGACTGCCCTGGACGACTCCACCATTGCTGTACATCACACATTGTTTTCACAAACATTATTCACAGAGCTGATCGTGATAAAGTGCTCATAGGTCCTGCACTAGGGATAACACCTAAAAGAGGCAGAAGCTATTGTACAAGTATAAGTTGCGAAATCTACTCAGGCATGTTGTGCTGAAACTTCTGAACAGTTAATGTCAAAGTCATAAGACACATCTTTTGTTAGGTGGACTGCTTTCAGATAGCTATATCTGAATAAGAAGACCTCCCCTCACGCCACTAGTTAAGGAAGATGCAATGAAATCTGTGTGTGAACACACTGGCTCCATTCCCATGATCAGGGGGGTGGGGGGTGAGGAGCATAAAGAAGCCACAATGGCTTCTTCGCCCCAGGGGTTGTGCAGTCCAAGACATGGTGGGGGGGTGGATCAGCTGGCTGAAACACTCCAACAGCAAATTCCAACGTCCACATCAGATGTCCAGAGAAAAGCAGCCAAAATGGTTCCACAAATTACAGAGCTCCAAGCTCAATTCACCTTTTCTCCATATATGAACAATCCCAAACACACCTTCAAAATCTACTTCTGGCCGGGTTTGCACAGTTGTAGTCCAATACATCTTGAATGACTAGGCATTAGGAGAGTTGAAGCCCAACACACTGCAAGAGTATCAGCTTGGGGAAGGCCAGCTTAAGCTGCATGTCTCCATATATGGTCAACCTCCTTATTTGTAAATAAATTCATGTATCACAAAATACTGATAAGCCACCAGTGATCTCTAGCCAAAGGAAACCAAGTCCAATGAAGTGCTGTGCCCCTGGAATTTCTCACTACTAGTGGATATGAGGGAATCACAACATATGCGATAACCTGCAGGAATTGCACTACCTTGCTAATATCTTCTTTTGCAATACTACTTGCAACACAAAAAAATATGGGCCCCTACTGATGTGACTCCACATCTATACAGACTCAGACATTTCTTGTCTGCTCAGCCTCAGTGGCTCTACATTTCCACCCCTCTTTGTGTGGAGATACTCATAACATCTGCTCAGCATCTGTGTCTTCATTGCCTTAAACCTTGCAGAACCTCTTCTGCACCTTCCTTCCCTTTTATCTGCAGCAGGGTAGCTATTCCTCTGTATTTGCTTCCTGTTCATTGACTGTTCACTGAGGATGGTGAAGATGATACTCACCAGCTCAGTTCTTCTGCCTCTCCCACCACTGCCTCCCTGTTTGCTGTCTGCTTCTTCTCAGTGCTTCCCCCTAAGTTCTTCTGAGACTCCATCCACGAATTCCTTAAGAGGTTGCCTCTTGAAAAGGAAAATATGTAGGCGCTTTTTTCCCATAGAAAGCCATTTGTTTAAAGCACTGTCCCCACAGGGCTGGCAGATGCAACCATTCATTCCCACCCACCCACACACACACACACTGCCTCCAATGCATGCACATATACTTTACTGAGACAGGGATTGCTGGCACAGTCAAGATCACCCAAGCTGTCTGGGAAGCCACTTCATGCAAATAGTTTCCTGCTTCAAAAGACACAATTCCCAGGGTTGTGGGGATGGACAGACCAAGTGGTCTGTGTGCAGAATTTTTCCAGGTCTCAAGGTAATCGAATGAGTGCTATGCCATTTACTCAGCTTACAGTTCAACCAGACGTTTCCCTCACTGCTCCAAACTTGCTGCTGAAGTGGGCTGAATGGTTGTGTTTATGACTGACTGTACCTATCTCTTATCCTGTGACCAGTTCACCACAGCTGAACACAACACACATTCACCAAGCTAAGAGTGTGAGTGTGTAACTCACCAAGCTGTGAGTGTGAGGGAGAAAATTTACCAGTGTCTGTGGTAAATTTCACTATTCACATATGGAACATTTTAGTGTATCTGCTCAACCATTCCAGTGTAATTTTGGCTTCTGAGCCTTGAAATGCCTTTTCTCTCCTAGTCTTGAAGTACATCTCCCCTCACCCTCCACCCAACACACACACACACACACACACACACACCTCTCTGTTTCCCTTTCCCCCCCTTCCCTCCTACTTTAGGTTTCTAGACGCTGGCTTGGTTTTCTGTTCACTGGCCGGACTTTGGGGTGATGTTCTTCCAAGACACTGAAAGCTGGCTCAGCCCTGGCTTGCCCCTTTCCCAACCCTGTAGCTCCTCCACCTGGCGGGTGGGGGTGGGGTGCTCCTCTGCCACCTTTCCCAGTGAGTTTCTATAGGTTCACCTCCTGACAACCTGATGTGCCTATGTGTTCTTGCACAGATGAAAGCACTGCTTTGTTCAACAGGATTTACTTTCAAGTAGGTCTGCCTAGGATTGCAGCTTAAATTGTTTGTGCTCCTGTCTTTCAGCCAGTGATCACATCGCCAGGCTCTCTGCAACTCATCAGCACCTACCATCTTCTCCTGTGGTTGCCTTCTCCACCCCTCCCTCAACTCTTGGCCCCATCCTTCTTCCCACCCCCACACAGTTCTGCTGTAATTCAAGAATCCATGAGGACACCTAATGGCAGCAACGGGAACCATGCCTATTGCCAGAATCTCACAATTCCCACCCCCCATCCCAGATGATTGGAAAACCTGTCCATGCACTCCTGGAGAGAGCCAAGATTCCAGGCCTAGCTTTGAAATGTGTTTACTGTGGGACTGAACTGCAGATATGTTATGAACAAATCAGCAAATAAAAATCACACAGACCACAAGTAAATCCACCAGATGCATGTGCAAGAGAAAATATATTTGCCAAGGAGTCACTGTATAGGCAGTCAGATGCCTTTCATTCTCCCACTCAGAGACTTTTTCCATGACCTGGACCCGCAAACATACATCTCTAATTCATGGCTGTTTGGAAATTGCAGATACACCCAGTGTACACACGCATACTCGCATACATGCGCAAGTCTTTTCTAAGACTGACTGTGTACCTAATACTCTATTAGCCATATACTTAATGTTTGCAAACCCTTGCACAAGATTGCCACCTACACAAACACAACTGCTTTTGTATGTTATCACAACATACACACACACAATGTAATCAATGCTGCAACGGACAACTCTTGCCAACCTCTCAGTCAGACAAGGTGCTGCTTCCCAAAGAAAAGAGGTATTTATTGCCAAGCCACATCCCATCTGATCTGATGAGACCTGGCAGAAAAATTCTCTCTCTCCACAGCTGGGCACAGAGAGCCAGCATAGTCCAGGGAATGAAATCTTGATCTGGAAACTTGGGTTCAAATTTCAGTTTACCCATAGACTCACTGGGTAACCCCTAGTGCAACTCTCCTGCTCTGTCTCAGTTTGCCCACCTGCAAAATGGAAATAGTAATGAGCTAACCCAGATGTTGCCTGTCATCCAGTCCATCCCCACCTTTGAGCCTTGAGCGCCTGGAAGTCTCTCTTTTTCCTGCATGCTCCTCAGATGTCTGGGCAGCCTTTGCCCAAGGAAGATGAACAGTTTTTTCTGCCCTGAACCTCAGCCACTTTGCAGCCACCCCTCCCATCCTGCAAATGGCCTTTCCGGAGCTTAGAAAAGGGGACTTACTGTGCTCTGGGAACCCCTGGATCATGTCAAATTTGTGGATCTCCTTGGCGTAGTACTCAGATTCGGTGTGATCCTGGGAGCAACTCTCTTCCTTCTCCTCTTCCATCTCCTCCAGGAGCTCCCTGGTGCTGTTATACAGAGCCAGAATCTGATAGGGCACGTGGCTTGGCCCCACAGTCTCCGGTGGGCTGGTGAGGCGCAACTTGCTCAGGATCTGGCCCCGGATTGCCTCCACCCGTTTCTTCTTGATGTGCTCCAGGTCGAGCGTCGTGCAGGAGGAGAGCGACAGGCTGACGGTGGCCAAGCTCAGGAGGGAGAGGAGCAACAGAGCCCTTTGCAAGTGCATCTTCAGGCGCGGCGCGGCGCGGGGAAGGGGCGAGGAGGCGGGACACCCCCGGGAGAAAAGCGCGCACGCGGAAGGGCGATGAGGCGGATCCTGCTGCAGGCTGGCGCTGGGCGAGAGGGTGCATGAATGGACGCCCGCGAGGGGGGGTCGTGACTGGGGGCCTCTAGCAAGACACGCTGGCGGATCCCGAGGAAGCGGATCGGCGCCTCGGCTCGCCGGGGTTCCTCTCCATGAGTCTGCGGGCGCCCGCGCGGGACCAAGCCAGCTTCGCCGGGAGCTCCGAGGCGGGAACCTGCCGACCCGCGCGGCGCTGCCTGACGCTCTCCGACCTACGCCGCTCTGGGCAGCCCCCGAGCCAGGCGCCCAGGGGGAGGCTCAGCCGGGAGCGCACGTGTCAGGCGGCCCCGGGAGCGCACTGGCGGCTGCCGGCGCGCCCTATTCATGCCTCTCCCTCGGGTGCCATCCCTCGGGAGCTGAGCCGAGGTGGATGCGCCTCGCCTTCATTGGCTGCGGCGGGGGACGAAGCGCTCCCGCGGGAGACGGACGGACGGACGGACGGACGGAGAAGCCGGGCGCGGACCTGTTGGTTGTTGCGGCGGCTACTGCTGCTGCTGCTGCTGCTGCTGCTGAGGCTGCCGCCTAGCCGACTGCCTGCTTTCGGGGCTCCCTCCCTTTTCTCCGTCGCCCCGCCGCAGCTCCAGGTACAGGGAGGCTTTTTCCCTCCACTTCGCCCGGGCTACCCTCCCCACGGCTCCCGATCTCGCCTTGGATCCCTGCCTCGTCCGTCGCCAAACTCTCTCCCCCCTCCGCCCGCTCGCACAACACACACTGCCTCTCTCTGCTCCGTTCGCTTGAAATTTTATACCTCCCTCCCATGACGTCTCTGGGACCGGGACGGGCAAAGGGGGAGCGAGCGAGGGATCGCTCGAAGCCCAGCCTTCGCAGACCAGCACAATGTTAATGTGTTAAACAGGCGCGACTTGTGGAGGGGGAGGAAGAGAAAGGCACACACGCACAAACACGCACCTCCACGGACCGTGATGTTGCGTAGCTCGCCCACCTCAGGTCTGGGGTCTTTGGGCTCTATGGCACTTCCGTGCCGAAATGATCTGACTCACAACTGTATCAACAGGCAGCATCAAATTCTAATTTCTTTCGCTTTTTTTCGCTTTCAGAATAATAGCTGGACAGAGAAGAACGGAATGTTTGGGCACGTACACGAGATCAACCCTTTTAAATTACAGGGAAAATTCATCCAGGATAACTAATCGTCCTCGCGACGACTGGACCCACTATCACCCGTGTCCTTTGAAGGGAAAGCATCCACAGTTTTGTCACACGCCACTTGCTACTCTCGTATGACTACACCCCGCATGTTGTCAAGCGACGGGTAGGGAAGGGGCTTGCTGAAGTTTTCCCCGCTATCCCAAACACGACCCCCCTCCCAACCTCAGCACATTTGACATTAAAGCAAATCCCACTGATCTAAGTGAACGGACGTGCTGCTTTGGACTGCAGAAAATTTTACTGGAATCAGTAAAATTTCTGCCAGATAACCATTTTAAGGCGCAATCCTACGCATTTTTTTTTTTGGTGGGGGGGGGAGTCCTACAACTCCCAGCACTCCCCAGCCAGCTATGGTTGACTGATGAATGCTGGGAGTTGTAGGGCTTTCCTCCTTTTTCTCTCTAAACATGCACAGGATTGCGGCCTAAATTCACTTGTTGTAAGAAAAATGTACATGCATCTTTTTAACAGCAGTCCAAATCTGTTTTTTTCCGCTCCTTTAGAAACCAAAAGCCCATAATTTCGGGGGTCTGAGAGAGCAACCAGAATCTTTCTTTACTCTTCCTTTGATCCCTTTTCTTGTCAGTTTCTACCTGAACTGTTACTACAGCAAGACGTTGCTCGATTATAAAACCTGATATGTAGGCCCTGCAGAGCTTCACAGTGGGGCGACGTCAAGGTTTGCTGTTGAAAAACTGGGAACATGCGTGATCTGGCTTGTTTATTTCTCTCCCCGGCTTTGCTCCTTCCGTAAAAAAATAGCGAGCATGGGCAGCCTTCGAAGGTGGGGTTGTGGGCTGAGACGGCGAGCAGCTGAGAGACGTGTGTGCAATCCTTAGCAGCGATCAAGGAAGGCCCCAGTTCATTTATTTTATTACCCGTTTGCAGTCCAGAGTAGTTTAAGGGAAGCGAACGGCGCCCTCTGGTGAGTAATGTATGCCGGTGAAATAGCTCCCTGGAGGAGGAGTCCTTGTTTACATGCGGGAGTGGATTCCAAGAAAACTTGCCCCTGAGCCGAGAAAAGAGTGGGTTGGGTACTTGGCGTTGTGTCCTCCTCCCAGTTATTTCCAGCTGCTCAACTGCATCTTGAGCCTCGAACACTAACGATTACCTAATGTGACCTTTCCATCATATGGAACTCTGTCTAGTAACTGGAGTCTTAAGTTGCTACAGAAATAGGATATCTATTGTTAGGTTTTGTTTTAGGACTGGTATTTGACAACTATGATCATGATACATTTATACCTCACTGTTTTTCTTACAAGGAATCCAAGGCAGCTGACAAGGTTCTTCTCCTCTCCATTTTATCCTCACAACAACAATCCTGTGAGGCTGGTTAGGGTGAGAGTCTGTGATTGACCAAACTCATCCATTGAGTGAGCTTCATGACTGAGTGGGGACTAGAACCAAAATCTCCTGAATCCCAGTCCAACACTCTAACCCATAAACCACACTAGCTGTCAGTGTGGAAAGGCATCTGAGAGAAACACAGCCTTGAGACACACAAGTGAGAAGATGGCGAATGAGTGATTTTCTAGATGTTGCTGGACAAACATTCCCATAATTACTGGCCATTCTTATACTGACTGAGATTAATGAGAGTTGGAGTCCAACCTTAGTTTCACCACCCCTGACCTGGAGACCCACAGAATTTAGTTTTAAATGTTTAAGTGCATCATCATCATCATCATCATCATCATCATCATCATGTAATAATCAAAACAGTTGAGAAAACAAAGCATAAGCTAGCACAATATAAACAAGCACAGCAAATCAAATCAATTAAAAATAACAATGGCAACAGCAGGGATAAGCAACCCTTTTGAGCCATGGGCACATCTGGCAATTTGAGGGAAATTGTCTGGCAAACTGTCCTGAATACCACTGCAAAATGATGTCTTTTGGAGGTGTGACAAAGCACAAGAAGCTGCAGAACAGACCAAGTACAAGACAGAGGTGAGAATCTGGGCTCCAATGTCCTAAACAATTTCTTTGGACTCAGTTTTCAACACCTATTTCACAGCAAACCAGCTGTTTTTTTTAATGTTAATCTAAAATATAAGCAGGAGGGGTAAGGCTTCTTTGTGAGTTCCACAAAAGCTGTCCAGAGGCAGAGTTGTGCCTATGGGCATCATGTCACCTATCCTTTCCCTGAGCTGAAAAAAGAGTGGTTTGGCCAACAGTTGCCTAAAATCACAAACAGAATCTGGAGGCATTAAAACAGCAACCACCAATCACCTATGAAACCTTGGCCATTAAAAAAGGAGGTATGATCAAGAAATGGCATGTCATCCTTCCTTTCTCATGCTCAGCCCATAACAAGGGTTGAGTCACCTGATCAAAAAAGAACTTTTAGTGAACAATGGAACCCAATGCACGTTATATACATCAGTGTGACAAAGGGCCATCAGGTCACTAGCCAGCATGCATTAAACGAAAACAACTGGAAAATGTTACTGCTTTGCTGTTCATTGACCAGGGCTGCTGCAAGACATTTTGTCCCCAGAGGCAAAGGACATGATGGTGCCTTCACCCCATTCTGTATACAGAAGCTGACTGACATAACAGCTGAAACTTCCTTCCACACTTTTGATGGGATTGCACCATCTACCACACATGGGGCACCCTGCTGCCTAAGGTACAGGGCAAGATGGCAGCCTTCCCTCTTCGATGTATAGAACTGGGCTGGACTTTTGGCAAAGTCCCTGAACAGAGATTCCTGAGCAAACTTAGCAGTCATAATATAAGAGGTCCTCTTATGGACTGGAAACTACCTAAAGTTGTTGTTGTTAGTCGCGAAGTCGTGTCCATCCCATCGCGACCCCATGGACAACACTCCTCCTGGCCTTCCTGTCCTCCACCATCTCCTGGAGTCCACCTAAGCTCACACCAACTGCCTCAGTGACTCCATCTAACCACCTCATCCTCTGCCGTCCCCTTCTTCTTTTGCCGTCTATTGTTCCCAGCATTAGATTCTTCTCCAGGGAGTCCTTCCTTCTCATTCGGTGGCCAAAGTATTTGAGTTTCATCTTCAGCATCTGGCCTTCTAAAGAGCAGTCAGGGTTGATCTCCACTAGACCTGACCGGTTTGATTGCCTTGCAGTCCAAGGGACTCGCAGGAGTCTACTCCAGCACCACAATTCAAAGGCCTCAATCCTTCTGCGCTCAGCCTTCCTTATGGTCCAGCTTTCACAGCCATACATTGCAACTGGGAAAACCATAGCCTTGACTATACACACTTTTGTTGGCAGGGTGATGTCTCTGCTTCTTAGTATGCTGTCTGGATTTGCCATAGCTTTCCTCCCCAGGAGCAAGCGCCTTTTAATTTCTTGGCTGCAGTCCCCATCTGTGGTGACCTTGGAGCCCAGGAAAATAAAATCTGTCACTACCTCCATTTCTTCCCCATCTATTTGCCAGA